ATATAACTACCAGAACCACGGACTGCTAAAGGGACAAACTAATCTTCCTTGGAAGAAGCATGGCCAGAGTGCTCCTTAGAGGCAAGGAGCTAAAGACTCGGTCTTACTTATTTGGGACATATTGTCAAGAGAGACCAGTCCCTGGAGAAGGAAATCATGGCTTGGTAAAGTGGAGGGGCAGCTACAAAGAGGAAGGCCCTTAATGAGATGGATTGCCATTGTGGCTGAGTATGGTGCAGGTCTGTGTCATGCTTCATTCTATAGTGCAGCAGTTGCTATGTGTCATATCTAACAATATCTAGATGGCATCTAACAACAACAACAACAACAAATTTGTAAAGTAGATCACCAAGAGTTTGTTCCACATTCCACTGAAATCTGTGTACCTGGGTCATCCTGCTGGTATTTGAAATACTGGTAGCATAACTATCAGCATCATAGCAACACACAAGCTGTTATGGTGTTACTTGCAGTCGAGTTAGTTCTGATACATAGTGAGCCTATGCACAACAGAAGGAAATACTGCCCCATCCCGTGACAGCCTCACAATTTTTCTCATGCTTGAGCTCATGGGTGCAACCACTGTGTCGATCAATCATGTTGAGTGTTTTCCTCTTTTTTTTTTTTTTTTGATTTCCCTTTTACTTTACCAAGCCTAATGTCCTTTTCCAAGGATTGGTCTCTCCTGATAACATGCCCAAAGTACTGGCTTCTAAGAAGCATTATAGAATGGCTGTATTTCTTCCAAGAGAGATTTTTCGTATCCTTTTGGCAGTCTGTGGTATTTTCATTATTCCTCACTTGCACCTCGATTCGAATGCATCTTTTCTTCTTCACTCTTCCTTATTCATTGTTCAAGAACTATCATGGCTTCATCAGAGGCACTTTAATCTGGACGTGACATCCTTGCTGTTCAACACTTTAAAGAGGTCTTGGGCAGCAGATTTACCCAATGCAGCGCATCATTTGATCTCTTGACTGCTGCTTCCATGAGCATTGATTGTGGCTTCAAGAAGACAAAATCTTTGTCAACTTCAATCTTCCCCCCCCCCCCATTTATTATGATTTTACCTCTTGGCCAGTTGTGAGGATTTTTGTCTTCTTTACATTGGGTTGTAATTCATACTGAAGGCTGCAATTCTTGATCTTCATCTGCAAGTCCTTTAAGTCCTCCTCACTTACAGCAAGCAAGGTTGTGAAATCGGCTTATCACGGGCTTTCAATAAGCCTTTCTCAATGCTAATGCCTTTTTTTGCATAGAATTATTCGATTCTCTGACCAGAGAATCAGAGAAGCTGGACTATGGGAACACACAAATGATTACAATACGGAGACTTGACAAAAGGCTTCCAAAAAAACCCAGAAACAAAACCACCACTTTCAAGTGGATTCTTATTCATAGTCACCCATAGATCAGAACTACTGAACATGTCCATGTGTGCGATCTTTATCGGAAGGAGACAACCTCATCTTATTCCTGTAGAATAGCTGGTGGATTTGAACCAGTGCTATTTTGGTTAACACTCCAGAGCTTAACCCATTGTGCTACCAGAGTGTCTTATTAATCAGACTATACACCTGAAAATAGGGGTATATCCTTCTGGTGCCCCGAAGAGTAGATCTCTTTCTACAACTGGCAGCAGTAGAGATGCGGTTAGAGGGATGCCAAGTGTGAGGAGGGGGCTTCCATCCAGGGAATATAGCTAAGCTCTAGAAGTGGAGAACATTTCTTGGCCACCAGCCAAGAAATAAATGGGCACTTCAGTTTTGTAGCTACCAGGAACTTCATTTTTCCAACAGCCTTGATGAGTTTGGAAGCACCTTCTTCTTCTAAGCCTACAGTAATGAATGCAGATCTGCTGATACCTACAGTCTAGCTCACTGAGCTCCAGGTCAAACTTCTGACTCACAGAACCCTGGAAAATAAATGGGCGTTGTTTGAAACCATTAAGTTTATGGTAAATTTTGATGGCAGCAATAGAAAGCAAATAACTAAGAGGATTACTTTTCATTTGATCACAAATTTGCTAAATGACCTTGAGCAAAGCAATTCTCCTGCCTGATCTCAATTTTTCCACCTAAGAGAAACAAATGGACTGGGCTCCTCAGGCCCACCCCTAAAGGGAAAAAGGAAAGTTTCATAGATATGCCTTGATTTTAAAAATGTATCAGGCAGCATACCAGAAACCTTGCTTGCTCCTCCCACCTTGTCAAACATATTTGCACAAAACCAAAACTGGAATGCTGGTGTAAAACAGTGATGTTTGCATGGTCTAAAGTCATCAAAATATCAAAGGTTGTTCACTATTTGCACTTATTCAGTTTTTCTATTAACTTGCTGGCAAGCGTAGGCTGAATAATAAATTACACATGTAGAACTCACAAATCATTATTTCTTTTGTATCATTTCTTTTCCCCACGTTTCAGAAAAAATTTAAATGATGCTATAATGTAGTTATCACACAATTGGTATTTTATTGAGAGTATTGGCAAAATGATAAGGATTTTCAATTTTTGGTCCTTATATCTTTATTATTTTTTAATTTATTTCCATTTGGAGAAACCACATTATGATAGCACCTAAAAGTATCAATAAAATTATTAAAGCAACACTAAGCTTTGGAAATGTATCATCCACTTTACCTATGATGCCTTAAATACCAATGATGTACCACAGAATGAACAATTTTTATAACAGAAAAACATAAGATGTTTACATTTCTTCATATGTTGTACTCTCAATTATGTGGTGGAACTTTTACCAACTCAATGCCATATGTAGATTCAATGACTGTCTCTCAAGTGATTTCAAATTCTTCAATGCTGACCTATTTTAAGATAAATCAAAAAGAGCCATACATTTCTCAATTGCTTCAGTTTTCTCTTCAGGTGAAATTTGCATTCAATATAAAATGAATGCAATTTAGATTTTCAAAAATTAACATGGATATTATTCTCATCTGAAACTTCTTCAGAGTCATACTAATGTTGTCATCTCTGCCCGCTCATTGTATTGTCTTATTTTACTATATCGCAATGTCATTCGGGGGCGGAGCTTATATTGATTCCCTTTTTATTGTGAGTTGGAGTGAGATTTACAGAGCAGAATAATTTTCCACTCAATGACTCATATGCATAGTTTCATCTCATCGATTGCAATGCCCACAATGCACCATCTCTATACCCAACTTCTTCTTTCTGTTTCCTGTTGTCATTCCCCCTCTTTTCCTATGGCATCTGATCTTTGATTTGGGGAAGATGATGCGCTTTTGATCTCAAATGGTTGATGATGTGCTTACCTACCTAGTGCTATTGTGCCACTTCTGTCGTATATGCAGTCAGCCCTTTTCCATTTTTAAGAAACATTTTTTAATCTTTTTATTGGGGGCTCGTACAATTCTTATCACAATCCATACCTGTATCCATTGTGTCAAGCACATTTGTACATTTGTTGCCATCATCATTCTCAAAACATTTGCTTTCTACTTGAGCCCTTAATAGCTGCCCCCTCCCTTCCTGCTCCCCCCTTCCTCATGAACCCTTGATAATTAATAATTATTATTATTTTGTCATATTTTACACTGTCTGAATTTTCCCTTCACCCACTTTTCTGTTGTCCATCCCCCAGAGAGGAGGTTATATGTAGATCCTTGTAACCAGTTCCCCCTTTCTACTCCACCTTCCCTCCACCCTCCAGGTACCACCACTCTCACCACTGGTCCTGAAGGAGTCAACCGCCCTGGACTCCCTGTGTTTCTGATTTCTGTCTGTACCAGTGTACATCTTCTGGTCTAGCCAGATTTGTAAGGTAGAATTAGGATCATGATAGTGGGGGGAGGAGGCATTTTTGCAACAATTTAAAATAAATCTGATTTTAAGTTGTTGCAAAAAAGACCATATTTTCAAAGAACAAAATATAAAAATATGTGTGTTATACAGAGTCTAAGAAAGCTTGTGGCCTTCCGACCAAAATTCTGCCTTGCAGACATGGAAGTCTTTGCCAGAACTGTTAGAACCCTTCACATAGACTTAAACTCAACACGTGCTTGAATTTAAATTAAGCTGATTAATTCTTTCAATTTTACAAATTTATGTCTTCTTACGAACACAAACCTATTTTAAAATATTAAAGCAGTCAGTCCATATCACTCTGGTGGCCAATGTAAACAATAAGGATCACATTTCACACATTTTCTATTATTGAAAAAATGTCCCTCAGCTTCCAAGTATAACTGCTGTGAATTCCATATTAATGTGTGTGTACACCATTGGAAGGCAAGGAGAAATAAGAATGGATGCTTGCCATTGTTGAAAAATGGTATTTCATCATGAAAGAATTATTGCAATTGGGCAATTTGAAAGGAGGGATTTCAACACTTCATTCATTTGATTTTTCTTACCTAAGCATTTTCACAACTCAAACTTTCCCTGTCATCTGAAGAAGGATCTGTCATCGCCGCTGTGAGTGGCAATACCAATACAATTTCCTGGCATTGATGCATAGTGGCATTTTATAAATCGAACAAGAAATGTGAAGAATCATTTACTTGGGGTCAGAATCTAGTAATGGCTCCCAACCAAGGATATGTATTGCAACACTCTGGAAAAATTATGTTCATGTGCCTAAACTGTGTTTTAAGAATACTGTAGGAAATCAATTTTTAAACATGTCCTTACAACTGGAATATATAGAAGAGCATGATAAATGGAGAAACTAATGAAGTTGTCAATTATTTAATTTTATCTAAATCAACAATTAAAATTCATAGAAGTAGTCACCAATAAATCAAAGAACCTAGTGCATTAGGAAAAACTGCTGCAGAAGACTTTTGCAAAGTTTTAAAGAGAAAAGGTGTCAATTTGAGGACTAAGGTAGACCTGACCCAAGCAATGGTAATTTCATTCACCTCATAAGCATCCGAAAGCTGGACAATGAAAAAGAAAACAAAGTCTTGAAATCGATTGTGGTGGTGGTTGCACACATCTTTTTTTTTTTTCCCCAGGGGAAAGCATGGACACAGTTCCCCGCTACCACAAATTATACAGTCACGTTTCCTGCATTTGGGGAAATGGTGGGGGTCAGCACACCTGCAGTGCAATGGGTGAGCCTCGCCCTGGGAAAACCACCTTCCTGATCATGGTGTCTCCCCTGCCAGGTAAGTAGTTGCACAAGTCTTATGAATGATATTTAATGATTAAAATGTATTACATGTGAATTGTATGTCAGTGAAACTGTTAAAAATAAACTAATTCAGTATATGTACATAGATCTATTCCCCTATCATTATATATAAATGTATTTACATATATTTCTTTATAAAGTATTAGAGTAGCAGATGGCCATAGGACCTTCACTGAAGTACTCCCTCAATGAAAGAACACTTTGTTCTTCTAACCCAGCACTCTGTGATGCTCATCTTCCCTGAAAAGATCTCTGAAGACAAAATGGGTACATAAGCAAATGGGGTGAAGAAAGCTGATGGTGCCTGGCTATCAAAAGATATAGCATCTGGGGTCCTAAAGGCTTGAAGATAAACAAGTGGTCATCTAGCTGAGAAGCAACAAAGCCCACATAGAAGAAGCACACCTGCCTGTGTGATCATCATGAGGTTTCGATGGGATCAGGTATCAGGCATCAGGCATCAAAGGCCCAAAACAAAACCAAAAAAATCATATAGACATGAATAAAAGGGAGGACATGGTAGAGACCCCAGGCCCATCAGCAGTCAATTGGACAACCCTTCTCAGAAGGGCCACAAGGAAGAGACGAGACAGTCAGGGTGCTGTATAGCACTGAAGAAACACACAACTTTCCTCTACATTTTTAATGCTTTCTCTAGCCCCAATATCACACCCCAAATCTACCTTACAAAGCTGGCTAGACTATACACTGGTACAGAAAAGAGCTCACAGCACAGGGAATCCAGGACAGATAACCCTCTCAGGACCAATAAGGGAAGTAACGAAACTAGGAGGGTAAGAGTAGGAGGAGTAGTAAGGGGCAACTGATAACAATGACCGACATATGCCCCTCTCCTAAGGGTACAGACAGCAGACACGTAGGTGAAGGGAGACAGTGATCGGTGTAAGACATGAAAAATAATAATAATTTATAAATTTTCAAGGGTTCATTAGGGAGGGAGGGGAAAAAAATAAGAGCAGATACCAAGGGTTCAAGTAGAAAGAAAAAGTTTTGAACAAAGATGATAGAAGCATATATATAGATAAGCCTGACACAACGGGTATATGTATGGACTGTGATAAGAGCTACAAGAATCCGCAATAAAATAAAATTTAAAAATATAAATGAATTAAAATAAATACGTAGAAAATTTTCCAAAATATATATGAAAGAAGGCAGTGGGGGGAAGATTTCAGTTTGCTAATGTGTTGCCTACATTCTTACAATTTTTTTTAAGGTTTGAAGGAGAAGTGAAATTATGAACTTTCTACGTTCTTATTCTTTCATCTGGCTGTGTTCTTCATTTCATCTGAGAAAACGGGTATCAATGAAATGTTATACTTAAGTTTCTTAATAAATGGATGGCAGTAGATGCCAGTGAAACACAAAATAGAGTGAAATCATATAACAGTTTTAAATGTTAAAACCTGCTTAGATAAAATAAAGTTAGACTTGAGATTTTTAAAATAGAATTTCAAATGTTTGACAGCTGCTTCATTACTGGGTTTGATACATTGTAATAATGCATTGTAAAATGATAATCCTTTTATCTGTAAAAAAATAGCTCCTACAATTTTATAATTTAGGTAATGAGACCTTCATATAAAATCTAAAAATTTATAATATCATTATTTCCCCATTTTTGCAGTGACTTTCATGTAAAATATTAAGAAAATATGTAACTAAAACATTAGAAGAAGAAGGTAATTTAAGTGTGATGAATAACCAAATTATATAATAGCTGTGGTGGGAGAAACCTGACTTCCCAGTTCTCATTCTAATGTGAGCTCATTTATTGGATCACAGAGGTTTTATAAGGTAAAAGACAATTAGTCTGCGTAGTTATAAAAATCAAATTTGACCTCAGACACAAGTGAATGTTTAAAGGAACAATATCAGCAACATGGACTAGTGATTGGATGGAAATTATTAGAGTAAAGGCACAAGTGTTTAAAATTAAAACAGCAAGTCCTTGTACAGGATCAAAGCAGGCTTGATATAGAACATCATTTAGGAGTTCAATATTTACTAAACCAGTATGGGAAAGCAATATTTAAGAAATCAGTAAGCTCCAGCAGCAAAAGGGTGATAGAACATGGAATGGAAACTGGGTCCAAGGGACCACCTGCACCAACTGAAAGACTTTTCTATAGCCAAGGCTGGAACAATGTGAGTAAGGGAATAAATGAAGTAGTATTGTATTAAATCCCAAGTGGGAAACAAAGATCCATGAGTCCTTACTAATATAAAGGCACATCTGAATAAAAAAAGTAAGGGGAGAAATAGAAAAAAATCACCTGTTGAGGAATTCTGAATATTCTTTGTAGACCCTCCAGTTGTAAGGAGGTGGAGCATTGTGTTAGGCCAGGCTGACTAGGGAAACAAATTCAGTGACATTCAAGTGCATGTGTAAGAAAGCTTTATATGAAGAGGTCATTATATATACATCAAGAAAATATCCCAGGCCAGTTCAACTCAAATCCACATGTCCAATACTAGTCCATAAGTCTGATACTCGTCCAAAAGTCCATCTTCAGACTCATGAAGCCACATGCAATGATGCAAAATGCAGGACCATCACTGGCTGGTGGGTGCAAACTCACGGGAATCCATTGGGGGTGGCCCTGTCAGCTCTCCTAGTGACTCCATAGCAGGAAGGTGAAGGCAGAGAGAGAAGGGGAGGTTCCTAGAACCTTCCTTATGAGGAGATCGTGTGCTCAAGGAGTCACCATCAGACCACAGCCTTGACAAGCTAGACTCTGCCCCTACAATTTTATATATCAAGTTGGTCTGAAATTATATAACTACCACAAACAAAAACTCCCAGTCCCTAAGTGTGACCTGTGCATAGTGACTTCCTCCTAATAGAGCACAGAATGGAAAGAGGGAGAAGCATAGCAAACATAACCTCAATCATGTAATCACGGTAAAATCAGCAGTAGTAAGTCATCTTGAGATCTTGTGCCCTTGATAAGGTACACGAAGAATTATATCCTATTACTGTGGTCTTCCTCCCCCAGACCTATAACATCTGTTTCGTCATAAGAAAAAAAGAAAGAAAGAAAGAAAAAGATCAGGCAAATCACAATAGATGGAAAGATTTTAAAATACTCAACCAGTTCTACTCAATAGCTATCAAGATCATAAGAAAAAACAAAGAGAAGCTGAAAAATTAGTGCAGCCAAAAAGAACCTATAGAGATCTGAGCAGTAAATGCAATGTGATATTCTGCATTGGATCCTAGACCAGAACAAAGATATATACTTTCTGAGAAAACAGAGGACATCTGGGCAAGATCTGCACTTTAGTTAACATATCAATATAAGATACACAACACACACACAAGTTGAGGAGCTCTGGCATTGAGCTGTTAAAAATAAAATCAGAGGTTCAAATCCTCCAACTGTCCACAGGAGAATGATGAGACTGTCTACATCTATAAAGAGTTAAAGTCTTGGAAACTCAATAGGCCAGATCTACACTGTCCTAGAAGGTCACTATGAGTTGTAATCAACTAAATGGCAGTGAGTTTCAGTTTGCATAGGTTCATTAGTTGTAAAGAAGGCACTATATAAGAAAAGATGATAATAGGGGGAAACCAGGTGTGGGGCAGAGGGGAGCTTTCTGTACTAGCTTTCTACAACTCTAAAGCTGTTTTACAAGAAAACGTTTGCTGAGGGAAAAATACATATACGTATTTTTGAAGCAGGGATCTAAGCTCCAGTTTCTGACCATGGTTCTGGTCTTCTGCACAGACTCAACTCTCAAAATGCAACAGAACCAAAATGGGGCTGATTCAAAACCATGAGAAATACCTATAGAGTCAGCAGAGCATGAGATTTGAGTGGGAAGTAGTAAGAAACGGTGCCCTGAAGTAGACAGGAGGATGGACCTTTTTTTAAAATGAAGAGAACATTTACCATTAGATAATTACAAGAGAGTTTGAGTTTTTGAAAATATTAATAAGCTAGGAAAAGCACTTGGAAGTGGGATCAATAAAGATGAAAGACAGATTCAAATAACATGAAGATTGAAAGAGAGCCATCACATGGATACTTACTTATAAACAAAGCCAAGGCTTCAACAGTGAAAAGACCATTATAAACTGCTTTAAGCCACCAACCTTGAAAAACTGACAGAAAGCAAATAATTTCTAGAAAAATTTAAAAATGCTATGAGCCCCTGGGTGGTACAAATGGTTAGCACTCCCAGCTGCTAAATGAGAGTTTATAGTTCAAGTTCACCCAGAGGTACCTTGGAAGACAGTCTTGGCGATCTTCTGAAAGATCATAGCTCCTGAAAATCCTGCAGCCCAGTTCTACTCTGATACATACAAGGTCACTGTGAATTGGAACCATGAAAAACAAGTGGTTTTCTTTTTTTAAGTTTTATAAGAATCCCAAAGCAGGAGAAGCAGTTTTAGCATTCTATAAATAGATCGCCCCCCCCCCCAATCAAATCCATTGCTGTGAGTCAATTCTAACAGAGTAGGCCTGCACATATGGGTTCCAAGGTTATTGCCTTTACAGAAGGAGATTGCCACATCTTTAGTCTTTGGAGCAGCTGGTGGATTGTGAGTTCATACCATGGGCTTTTCGGTTAGCAGCATTTTAACCAATGTGCCCCCAAAGCCCTATGCATAGACCACTGACCACTAAAATATGGAAATGGTAATCGAAGTTACTTGATTATCAACAACCCCCCCCAAAGTTAAATTAAATTTCCATTTCCAGCTATGGTAGAGCAACTAATATTGGGACAGTCATCCTATCAGAATTAATCTAAAACTGACATATTTTATGAGGATATTGTTTTAAGCACTGCACAATGGGCAGTCCTGTGATGCTGGAGAGAAGAAAAGTATACAAGACAAGTCCTCTATACCTTTGCCTTTCTGTGCTGCAGCACAGGGTGAAGTTTCCTAAGGGAAGCAATGGAATAACTGACTAAGGTGGAGCTCAGAGTTCTGGTCTGCTGAAGAA